CAGGGCCCAGGTTACTGCTGGTTCCCCTTGCAACTGGATAAGCTGGCACTAAAGTGAGAAGAACCAGAAGAGGCTGAGAGTCAAAGATGTATTTCCTAGTGCAGGCTGTACTTACAGCTCTCCGCATTCTTGCTTCAAATCTCCCTGTGCCAGCAGATATTAGGAATATATATCTATATATAATGTAACACAGGAGGACAGGTCATTTGGCTTCTGAAACATACTCATGTATTTACCACCAAACACCCACTACCATGTTTGGAAGCTCACTAAGGGATGCTACACCCCCTTGGCTCTGTGTACACAGTCAGAGAATTAATTTAACAGGACACCAAACTCTCTCCAGTTTGATTTGTTCCTTTCTGGGCCCCCAATAGTTCTTTCATGATGTTCCTTAAGAGTGGTGGGAGGGAAAAGGAGGCAGAAGGGAAACATCAAAGGAAACAGGGCAGAAATAATAGCAGCAATTCCCTTCTTCCCTTTACTACCTAGTATCTATCTGTAGGCTCTGTAGGCCTTCTCAATGGCTTTGGGAAACAAGACAGGGTCAACTCTCAGGGGTAGTGACCATGCCATAAAAATGAAAATCAATTCCATTCAGTGTCAGCCTTAGAGAATTCAAACGGGTCAAGAAGGGGGGGGGGGTAGGAAGCTAAGACTGAAAACAAACATTTAAAAGAAACCCAGACCTGTGAATGTCAAAGGCAGCTAGCTAATTAATGCCAAGTGAACCAGGACATCTTTGTCAAAACTTTAGCCCTAAAACTAGAACAAGCCAGTCAATGGGCACGGCTAAGGGCCTTTAGTGTTCTTATATATATGACTGTCATGGCATCACATTCAATGGAAATTAAGTCTCTCGACTCTCATCCTAACCTCAGAATTCCTGTAACTGCTCCTCACGGGCATTTGCTTGCTTGTACTATCTGGCATTTGTATCATCAAATGCAAGATTACAAGTAACTTAGGCCTCTTTGGGTCTCTAGAACCGAGTATATGGCATGGCTCTACTCCTTATGCAAGTGTGGAAATGACACCAGTTGGTCTATAAAAGTGTGCCAGGAAGAAAGTAAGCCCAACCGATGATACCAGAATCTCTCAGGCCAACTGGGAAAAGGATAAACAGGACTCAAGAAAACACTCACCCCTGGGCCTGACATCTCCCTCTGTTGACCCTTACATACTCTGTCCCCAAAGTCAAAGTTCCACTAACTGCCTGTCTCTATCCCAGAACTGGGTAGTTCCACCACTACTCTTAAGTCAGCAATGAGTACTGACACTCCTGATATATCCTCCTGGAATAGCAGGATGGTGGAAGGGCTAAGAGGGCAGGCTTTGGAAGCAGACACAGTTGAATCTGAATGTTTTCCCCACCAATAACTAGTTCTGATCAGGACAGTCACCAAGCGTCAGCCTCCTCACCTGTAACATGGGCATACTCTCATCAGGATATTGTGACATTAAATTAGATCTTCCACATAAAGGCCCTAGCACAGTACCTGGTACAGAGAAAATGTTCAGTACATGTTAGCTCTTCTTCTTCCTCTTCACACCATGAACTACACCTAAGATCTGGGCAAGGGTCCACAGCTTGGGGTAATTCTCCCTGACCTGTGTTCCTCTCAACAACACTTTGTCCATATACCCAAACCAAGGCAAAGCCAGGGCTTCAAACCCTTCCAGTGCAAACTCCTGCTGAGAATTTGCATTTCCACCCCAGGTCTACTGAATGAGAATCTACATTTTAATCTGGGATCTTGTTAAATGTAGATTCATTCTCATTCAGTAGATCTGGATGGAAATGCAAAGTCTCAGAAGAAGGTTGAACTGGTTTGGTTTGAAGCCCTGGTCAAAGCAACTTCCCAGAAAAGAAATCCTCTGTGAGAGGCAGAATATCCAGAGCCCAGCTTTCCCTAAGCCCACGATTTTGCCAAAGATTCCTTTCTGAAGCCTTCAGAAGCCAGTCTTGTCTCTTGCTCAGTTTCTTCATCCTCTGCTCTGCCAAACCACACTGGGACAGAAGTACATGAGGGGTGGTGGTGAACGGGGAGAGGGAGGGGAGAAGGGAGGACATAAGAACAAGACTACTGACTGTCAGTGGCCAACTTCCGGGCCAGTTAGCCAGACACTATGACAGTAAATAGCAAAACAATGAAATAACAAAGTCCAGGGGTGCTTTCTCGGAAGGAAGGTTGGGCAATCCTACTTTCGTAGTGATACTGCCTCGGAAACCCAAGGAGGGGTCGCTATGAGTCGGGGCCGACTCGA